TGTTTTTTTTTTATTAAACTCTCCAGTATCTTCCCAACTATAGAAGTCAAACTAATAGGTCTATAATTACTTGGTAAAGATTTTGACCCCTTTTAAATATTGGCACCACATTGGCCTTATGCCAATCCCAGTGGTACTTTGCCAGTCATTAAAGAGTCCCTAAAAATTTGAACCAATGGCTTTGAAATTACAGAGCTCAATTATTTATGGACCCGTGGGTGTATGCCAACCGGTCCAGGTGCTTTATTCATCTTTATTCTGTCTAAATATTTTTGGATCATATCAATTGTGAGCCAATGTAGATCATCTGGAGCTGTGTCAATACCATGCCCATTATGGACAAGAGCTCCCCCATGCTCCTTTATATACACAGAGCTGAAGAAGGTATTTAATATATTTGCCTTCTCTTTGTCTCCAGTCACCCACTCTAGATTATTTTGTAAAGGGCCTACATGCTCGGACCAGACCTTTTTACTATTAATATATTTGAAGAATGTTTTATGGTGGTCCTGCTATCTTTTGCAATCTGTTGTTAAAATTGAGCATTTTTATTTTTCCCGTACGTGCTTGCTGTTTACAGCTAACAATAAATGAAATCATGTTATGGTCACTGCTACCCAGCTGTTCTTTTATATGGACATTCATATTAAGCTCTACATGGTCTGAAATTGCCAGGTCCAGCAAAACATCATTCTTAGTTGGGGCCTCTATGAACTGTACCGTAAAATTGTCCTGTAGTAGGTTTAACATTGTTTTGCTCTTTAACTGTTCCTGCAGTATCATAACTCCAGTCAATTTCGGGGTAGTTAAAAACCCTCATTATTATCACTATCCCAGCCCTTACAGCCTTTCAATCTGTGCAAGGGGCTGAGTCTCCACCTCCTCATTAACATTGGGAGGCCTATAACAAACTCCAATGATTACCTTTGTAGTATGCATCACCATGTGCAGTTTCACCCATAATGCTTCAGCCTCATCACACTCTCCATCAACTAGGTCCTCTTTCACACCAGCTCTGAGATCACTTCTCACATAAAGACAGATACTACCACCTTTCCTATTTACCCTGTCTCACTGAAAGAGAACATATCCAGGAATATTAATGGCCCAGTCATGTGAAGAATGAAGTCAAGATTCAGCAATACCAATTAAATCATTGTTCTGTTCATGCACCACAGCTTACAACTCACCTATTTTGCTTTGCAGACTTCTGTCATTGGTGAACAAACATTTTAATGCATTGACACCTTGTGCACACTGTAGCAATCATGCACACAGGGATAGATGCAGACCTCATTTTGCTAAAGGATCTTCCATCTTATATCATGTCTACTCCCAAATTAGGCTTCCTCCTCCAATTCCACCCCCCCATCCCTCAGGAATGTTGTCTGTGTTAAAAAGGCAACAGGCCCCAATGGGAGAACTCCAGGGCTATAAACTTCCAACCGAGCTGGGGCCTAGATGTCTGTTAACTTCTCAATCTGGGATATTGTAAAGCCATAAGTCCTTCACTGAGCTCACAGACATTCCAGATAAACAGTAAACCAGACACCACATTCAACATCCATTTTCCCCTATGATTACATATCTTGGATTATGAAAGACTTACACAAACATGGAACACATATTCGGATGGCTCACTTTAATACAAATCATTTGAGATATTACATCCCCTAGCTGAGATCAACAAGAGAACAGAAAATAATATCATCTTAACCATCCCAGCAGGTATGACATATTTCATATGTAGACGTTCAGCAGATGATTCTGCGTATTAATCTACCCGTGGGTGGAATGTTACATGTACCTAGGAAAAGTTATTGACCAAAGTATAATTTCTGAGGGCTTTGGTCAGAGCCTGAGTTCTCTGCCTACAACTCCCTCCCCAAATGAGGCGATTGGTTCTCTGCTTCAGGGAGACACCCTGCTGAGTTCCTAGAAAAGCTAAGCTAAGCTGAGTTGAAAAAGTTGAAGATTCTCCCTTTTAACATCGGAACTAACTTTGGGAGATAAAGCATCCTTTTGGCTCATGAAACCTGATCTGCTTAAACCATGACGTTTGGTAAGTACTTTACCTCCCTAAATTTCTTTCTTTTATCTCTTTGCTGTGTTATTGCTCTCTGCATATTTATATATATATTGGCTACATCTTTTTCTGTAAATATTTTTATTGCACCCTTTTGACCTTTTAGTAAATAAATCTTACTTTCTGAAAGTGTTGAACTGTTTCTAAAGCTCTTTAATGCAAACTAAGAATCCCTGCCTCTGAAGAGCGCTACTGTGTGTGTGTGTGTTTTAAACTTCGGTATATCTATGCCTGCGGTTACAGTTTGTTTATCGACACTTATGCAAACATCATAGTGTTATTGCTGATATTGCCGAATTTCCTCTTTCTCTGTACAAAAAGGAGGTGGTGGCAGTGTGAAGGGTTAATTGCGTAATTAACCTGACCCAGTAACAATCGCTCTCAGGCTGCAGGTACACAGGTTGTGGTCAATTTGCTGGAAAATCTATGTGCAGGGTGCAGCTGGGCATGGCATTGTTACACATGTGACAGCGCGGTTTTAGATTGGCTAGTCCTTCGGTCACGAGTTTGGTGAGAAGGGCTGGGGTCTGACGTCATGATCGTCACACACACATATTTTGCATATTTTTTATTTTCATACAAATGGTACCAATTCCACTAGTTGTTTGTAACATGTGAACCTTCTTCTTATCATCTGCCATAGCCCCCACACCCTCATCTTTCCCCATTCACCCACCAATAAGGAACTTCAGATATGTTATAAACAATGTAATTTATTAACACTAACCATACAAACATAAACGCAGTGCAATACTAAAACATAACACAGTGCAAACAAACCAACCAACCACCCACAGATAACAGTACATACAATGCAAGCGTCGCCAGGCAGGCCGGGTCAATATCAGTCGGGCAGGTAGGTACAGGGGGAGCAAGCGGAGAATGGTCGGGGTCACAGGCCAGGTTCAGCAGGTAGCGGGCAGCGTGGTACAGAGGGTCAGGCAGAGGAGAATGGTCAGACAAGCCAGGGATCAGAGCAGGGTCAGCAGAGAATCAGACAGGAACGGAGAGCAGGAACAGGATACAGGGCCCAAGAGAAACACAACACCAAGGCAGAGTCTGCAGGTCTGAATGTTCCTTAAATACACCAGTATAATTAGTTCCAGGTGTTTGACTGGCTGCAAGGTTGAGTCTCTGATTGCTGGGAGCACCCGCTGGCCAGCCCTGGTACTGCAGCTCATAAGGCAGCTGAGTCCCACTATTGCTGGCCAGTCCATTCCTGACAGTACCCCCCCCCCTCAAGGAGCGGCCTCAGGACGCTCCAAACAGTCCTAGCTGGGCAAAATGTTCCACCGCCCGGGTCTGGTAACTGGCGGGATATCAAAGACTGGCACACCGGGCAGGACTCCGGGCAGCGGCACACCGGGTAGAGGCACATCGGGCAGGACTCCTGGCAGAGGCACATCGGGCAGGACTCCGGGCAGAGGCACATCGGGCTGGACTCCGGCAGAGGCACTCCGGGCAGCGGACTCCGGGCAGAGGCACATCGGGCTGGACTCGGGCGGGCAGAGGCACATCGGCACATCGGGGACTCCGGGCAGAGGCACATCGGGCTGGACTCCGGGCAGAGCACATCGGGCTGGACTCCGGGCAGAGGCACATCGGGCTGGACTCCGGGCAGAGGCACATCGGGCAGAGGGCCGGGCAGGGCAGAGGCACTCCGGGCAGAGGCACACCGGGCTGGACTCCGGGCAGAGGCACATCGGGCAGGCACACTCCGGGGGCAGAGGCACATCGGGCAGAGGCACACCGGGCAGAGGCACATCGGGCAGAGGCACACCGGGCAGAGGCACATCGGGCACATCGGGGGCTGGACTCCGGGCAGAGGCACATCGGGCTGGACTCCGGGCAGAGCCACATCGGGCCGGACTCCGGGCAGAGGCACATCGGATTACCAGGGCGAAGCAGCAGGCAGCGGGCCACCAGGCGTAGCAGCAGGCACTGGGCCCCCCCCAGGCGGAGCAGCAGGCACCGGGCCCCCGGCCAGAGCAGCAGGCACCGGGCCCCCGGGCGGGGGGGCAACAGGAATCGGGGCCCCGGGGGGCGGGGGCGACCGGCATCGGGCCCCCAGGCGGGGGCGACAGGCATCGGGGCCCCCAGGGCGGGGCGACAGGCATCGGGGGCCCCCCCAGGCGGAGCGGGCGGGCGCCGGACCCCCAGGTGGAGCGACAGGTCTCGGGCCCTCAGGCGGAGCGCCGGCAGGCGCTCGGGCCCCCAGGCGGAGCGACAGGTCTCGGGCCCCCAGGCGGGGAGCGACAGGTCTCGGGCCCTCAGGCGGCGGGAGCGGCGGGCGCCGGACCCCCAGGTGGAGCGACAGGTCTCGGGCCCTCAGGCGGAGCGAGGCGGAGCGACAGGTCTCGGGCCCCCAGGCGGGGCGGCGGGCGCCGGACCCCCAGGCGGAGCGACAGGTCTCGGGCCCCCAGGCGAGCAGGTCTCGGGCGGGCACCGAGTCACCAGGCACGACAGTGGGCTCCGAGTCAACTGGCATGACCGCTGGCACTGGGTCAGACATTGGATCGTCTGGCTGGACAGCGGGCATCGGGTCACCAGGCATCAGGTCATTTGGCTCGACAGCGGGCACCGCGTCATCTGGCAAGGCAGTGGGCTCCGAGTCAACTGGTATGACCGCGGGCACTGGGTCAGACATTGGATCGTCTGACTGGACAGCGGGCATCGGGTCACCAGGCATCAAGTCATTTGGCTCGACAGCGAGCACCGCGTCATCTGGCAAGGCAGTGGGCTCCGAGTCAACTGGCATGACCGCGGGCACTGGGGCAGACATTGAATCGTCTGGCTGGACAGCGGGCATCGGGTCACCAGGCATCAGGTCATTTGGCTCGACAGCGGGCACCGCGTCATCTGGCAAGGCAGTGGGCTCCGAGTCAACAGGCACGACAGTGGGCACCGGGTCATCAGGTACCGGATTGTCTGGCTCGACAGCGGGCATCGGGTCACCAGGTATGACAGCGGGCACTGGGCACCAGGCATCAGGTCATTTGGCTTGCCAGCGGGCACCGCGTCATCTGGCAAGGCAGTGGGCACCGGGTCACCAGGCATTGGATCGTCTGGCTCGACAGCGGGCATCGGGTCACCAGGTATGACAGCGGGCACTGGGTCACCAGGCATCAGGTCATTTGGCTTGCCAGCGGGCACCGCGTCATCTGGCAAGGCAGTGGGCACCGGGTCACCAGGCATTGGATCGTCTGGCTCGACAGCGGGCATCGGGTCACCAGGTATGACAGCGGGCACTGGGTCACCAGGCATCAGGTCATTTGGCTCGCCAGCGGGCACCGCGTCATCTGGCAAGGCAGTGGGCACCGAGTCACCAGGTACGACAGCGGGCTCTGAGTCAATTGGCACGACAGCGGGCACCGGATCAGGTACCGGATCATCTGGATCAACAGCGGGCATCGAGTCAACTGGCCTAATAGGATCGTCAGGCTGGATCAGTTCATCATGCTGGGTAGAGGCATCAGGGCTGAGTAGCCGGGCTTCAGGCTGAGTAGAGAGGCTTCAGGCTGAGTAGAGGCTTCAGGCTGAGTAGAGGCTTAGAGGCTTCAGGCCGAGTAGAGGCTTCAGGCCGAGTAGAGGCATCAGGCCGAGTAGAGGCATCAGGCCGAGTAGAGGCTTCAGGCCGAGTAGAGGCATCAGGCCGAGTAGAGGCTTCAGGCCGAGTTGAGGCATCAGGCTGCGAGTACAGGCATCAGGCTGAGTACAGGCATCAGGCTGAGTACAGGCATCAGGCAGCATCAGGCTGAGTAGAGGAGTCAGGCTGAGTAGAGGATTCAGGCTGAGTAGAGGCTTCAGGCTGAACCACGGAAGGCAGGTTCACCGGTTTGGATACTGGCAGGATGGTATTGGTTGGAAAGAATTTTCGCTTTTTTCTGGTTTTAACTACTGGAGCACTGCAAGTAAACGCAGGTCTGCAAACGAATGGAGCAGCTGGAGACAGAGAAGAACTGGAGGATGGAACAGGAGAGGGAGCAGTTGCTACAGAGGGCTTTTTTACAGGGTTAAAGGCAGGATAGGTGCAGCGAGTGGGAACAGGGTACTGACATGCGGTAGATAGCAGGGCAGGAGGAGCTGTTGGGAATGCAGGAATAGAGTTTTGAGGGAAATAGATTAGAAGCAGGACTGGGTTTTTGTAAGCTGACTGAGGCTGGGTGCAACAAATCTGTCCATGTCTGCAGTATGGGTTGAACAAAGCTGAGCTTACACAAAGCCTGTCTGACCAAAGACTGCACTGCGTTTATACAATCTCTTAGTGTCTGTGGTGAACATGTGGAATAACGCTCCAGAAAGTAACCCACATCATCCTCTAATAACCATACCAGGGACTCTACCTGGTCTGCACTAAATGGTGGCAAAAATTCATCCCTGCATTCGGGGGTACCAGATGAAACCAACTCAGCACAAACCTCAATCAAAGGCTGCACCTCAGAGAACTCTGTGCCCTGATCTACTAGAACATGAGCAAGCCGTATACATTCTAGCAGTTCATCCCGGGTATACTCCTTCAGAGTTTGATAAGCATACTCCCTGTCATCAAACACTAGCAGATATAAATACGCAACCTCATCCAGATCCATCCTTCCCATCAACAAGCCAAGATGGCTTCCCTGTGCAGCCACTTCTGGTCAGGATTGGCCTTGGTGTAATGTCAGGGCTCCCGGGTATGACCAGAGGTGTGTGACTGACGCAGGGAAACGCAGACTTCAGATATGTTATAAACAATGTAATTTATTAACACTAACCATACAAACATAAACGCAGTGCAATACTAAAACATAACACAGTGCAAACAAACCAACCAACCACCCACAGATAACAGTACATACAATGCAAGCGTCATCAGGCAGGCCGGGTCAATATCAGTCGGGCAGGTAGGTACAGGGGGAGTAAGCGGAGAATGGCCGGGGTCACAGGCCAGGTTCAGCAGGTAGCGGGCAGCGTGGTACAGAGGGTCAGGCAGAGGAGAATGGTCAGACAAGCCAGGATCAGAGCAGGGTCAGCAGAGAATCAGACAGGAACAGAGAACAGGAACAGGATACAGGGCCCAAGAGAAACACAACACCAAGGCAGAGTCTGCAGGTCTGAATGTCCCTTAAATACACCAGTATAATTAGTTCCAGGTGTTTGACTGGCTGCAAGGTTGAGTCTCTGATTGCTGGGAGCACCCGCTGGCCAGCCCTGGTACTGCAGCTCATAAGGCAGCTGAGTCCCACTATTGCTGGCCAGTCCATTCCTGACATTAGCTATGCATTGAGTTCTCTAATCTCTCCCTGTCTTTCCTGAGTTTTGCATGGCACAGATAATATTTCAGAGAATATCACTTTGGATGTCCTTCCCTTCAACTTGCAGCCTAGTTCTTTAAATTGATTCTTAAGGAGCATCCACCTTCCATGTATTCTGTCATTGGTTCCAACATGGACCAAGACAACTAGGTCATGCCCAGCCCCTCCCAGTAATTTATCTATCCGGTCCACCACATGCCGAACCTGGCACCAGGGAGACAGCAAACCATTCAGTTCAGGCAATCCTGGCGACAAACTATTCTATCAGTCCTTCTGATTATTGAATCCCCTACTACCACCAGCTGTCTAGGCCTTCCTGCACTATCCTCACCACCCCTCCCAGATGGTCTGATCTGCCGGCTGTTAGGAATAGCAGTGACATCCAGGGCTGCCAACCCTGAGCTTGCCACCCCCCACATCTTCACCCAATTTGGCAAATCTGTTTGGGTGCACAAACCCAGGGCCATCCTTCCTTTTCTGTGAGCCCCTACCACTTCCTCTCATTACAGTAACCCATCTTCCTACCTAATAATCATGATTAGCCCCTCCGCCCTCCACATCAATTCAATTAGCTACCTGCTCAGAGAGCAGAAGACCACTTTCAAGGTTGTCAGTTCTGCCCAGTATTGCAACTTGCTCCTTCATATCTCTAATGCGAGTTTCCAGAAGGGCAACCCACTTACATCTGTCGCAGCAGTATCCATCCTGGAGCTGTTGCTCCATTGTTGCATGCATGTGGCACACTGTGCACTGCACAAAACCTTCCACCTTGCTAGCACACATTATCCCAGTTACAATATTAACTAGAATCAGTAGCTATCTGATCTGAGTTCATAGAGGCCTGAACACACATGACCCCTGTGTATTCCACTCCTGGACAGCTTCTTGTCCTGGGATCAAGAGCTGGCACAGCATCCTGGCCTGGGAAGAACATCCTTGGCCTGGACACCCACCAACAAGGGTTTATTTCAATTATTGCCCCAGCTGCATTTGTTCCACAGAGGAGCACTTCCCCACACCATATTCTTCTCTATGTTAACCAAATCTGTCTTTTTTTTATTTAGATCAGTGGTTCTTAACCTGGGTTCGATCGAACCCCAGGGGTTCGTGAGTCAGTCTCGCGGGTTCGGAAGAGGTGAAGACCCACACCCGACTCATATGATTCGTGCAGTAAATATTCATTATTATGTTTTTGTTTTTGTGTGAAAATCATGTTTTAATGGTTTTGTTCATTTTGTGCACCTATGTATAAATATATACCTATGTTTTGAATTTTAAAAATCATATTTTATTTTTCCAATTAAGAAGGGTTCGGTGAATGCGCATATGAAACTGGTGGGGTTCAGTACCTCCATAAAGGTTAAGAACCATTGATTTAGATTCACCCACTGGACTACTGTTCTTATTTATTAGGTATTCTTATACTGCCAAAACTAGCTCTCCTGGTGTCCCTTACCACTTTTTCACAGTGACTAAGAGTGCGTCGGTCACAATATAAAAACATGATAACATAAAGTGGTAGTAATATCTGTGATAGATATTTTGGGCCTACAATAATTTTTTAACATTATTGTGAACTTCTGATAGGGGTCTCAATTCCTGTAATTTATTTACCATTTGTTGCATCACCTCAACACCAGGCTTAGAAGGTTTGCTCTAGAGGTTTATGTCAAGGTCCTACCTTTCTTCAAAGCTTGTGCATCTCCATGAGCTGGCATCCATCTTGGTTTTCTGCAAAGCATGGTGGGAACCTTTATGCCTTCAGGCTTCTGCGGCTCCTCCTCAGAAGGGTGTGGTTGAGCACATTTAAACCTGCTGTCTTCAAGTGTGCTCTGCACTTGTGTCCTGTATGTTGCCCTGTTGCAAGCTCTTGTGCTGTTCCCGTTGCTCTCCTGGTAACCGACTCGGCTTGGACAAGACTACTCTCTGCGTTAACCCTTTATCTGACCTCCCGTTGCTGACCCGGCCCGTGACCTGAGTATTCTTTGCCTACCGTCTAGTACTGTCTGCTCCATTGTTATTGACCCGGCTTGTCTGACTACTCTACTCGTGTTCCCATCTAGCTCCCACCAGCTGTACGCCATTGGCGGCAGTCGTTATCGCAGCTGGGGTCACTCGGGGGCCGCGACCTGGTCTCAGGCTGCGTCAAGTCCATCTCCACCATCAGGGGCCCTGGTGAAGGGTAGCCTGGGGCTTAGACTCCGCGCCCTGAGGGACTCTGATCTGTGGGTAGTGGCTGTCGTCAGTCGCAGCGTGACCGTACCATAGGCCTGCCTGCCCATTCCAGCGTTCCTGCCCTGACAGTTTATGACTGTAGGGCCATCCTGCTGAATAAGCCCTGGAGTCGTCATTTCTAACACCTCCAAGGGAGTATTGTCATAGATCTTCCTGTGGGAACTGGCTTCAAAGGAGGTATGCTTCCTGGACATTGGCCTATACAGTTGGCCAATATCTTTCATAAGTCACAGAGCCCCCTTTTGAACAAGAAATGGAAAAATATTGGAACTTATTGAAGGGTGTGTCTTTACTTGGAATGTAGGGGGAGGGGTATAAAGGTATGGCATTCTGTCTCTTTGGCCCTTTTCGGAGCCCAGGCATCAGGATATCAGGATCCCTGTGTAATGTACCTCCATTGCTCTGTCTCTTTCCCGTAACTTTCTTTCCTATAATCATCTCTCTGTAATGGTAATATACTGTATGTTATACTGTAACATACATTTTTTGTAGTATCATATCTTTTGTATTTCAGTATATTTGATTCGATTAATAACTGCTTTTCTTCTTTGTAAATAAATTAGATCTTTATTTTTTGCACAGCTGTTATCATTTGGTATTACCATTATTGGTATTAGCCACATCATGATTGGCTAAATTCATGTATAGACAAAAGGTTGTAATTACTTATTACATTTATAATCTTAGATAGAACTAAGTGAATAAGTGTGGTAGAAAAACCACCAAAACACATCAGCTTTTATACCTTCCTCCATTAAACTCATTAATAATCAATGTACATGGTGTTGTTTTTAAAATCTTTCTAACCTTTGCCATTCTATGGAAAAAGAGCAATCTTCAATCCAATCACATCACCAGGGCATGCACATTGTTACTGCGATTCACGGCATGCTCT